GGGGTGGGGGGGCCCCGGGGTACCCCTCCGGGGCTCGGGGATGGTGTGGGGGGGTTAGAGGTTGTTGGGGCTTCGTCCCCCCCCTCCCCAAATCCCCATCCAGCCCCGTGCCGCTCAGCTCCCACCCGCAGTGGTTTTGCTGGGCTGGGTGCAGGATTTGGCCCCGTCCTTGCAGACTTTTCCCTTTCTAAGGGAAAGAAGCCCGGGCAGAGCTGGCCTTTGGGGTCTGGCCATCGAGCCTCACCCCGGGAGCCCCAGCAGCACCCCTGGGTGCTGAGCCTCCCATCACAGCCAGCACCCCAACCCCGGGAGGCTGGGGACAGCATCGTGCCCAAGGAGGTGCCACCATCATGTCACCTCTTGGCCAGGACCCCTCTTTGGGGCAGAGTCGGGGCTCCGTTGCCTTCAGGAACAGGCAGGACAGGCGGCTTCGAGCCACGTCTACTAAAAATGATAAAAAGTAAGGAAAACCACCCAAAAAAACCTCCCAAGAGCGGAAAGGTTTGGGGTCCCCAGCTTCACACAACCCCCCGGGGCTGCTCTCCCCCTTCCCCACCACCGCTCACCGAACGGGTCTCCACCAGGCACCACTGGGCAGGATCAGCCCCCCCCCGGTTGTTCCACCACCACCCCCAAATTCGGGGTGCCGTCACCCCAACCCTCTCCCCCGGTCCCTTACCCTGGCGGGGTCCCCGCTCCGGCCTCTCTCCGGGCTGGGATCTGGCCGCGGCGATGGGGCCAGCTCGTCCTTTATAATGTCCCCGAGGGAGGTGGCACCTCCGGGGAGGTGGAGCTCCTCCGCGCCGGAGGGACCCATCCTGCCCACGGCGGCTCCCCGCACCTCGAAGGAGGTGCAGGATTAAACCTGGCGCCTGGTCCCCGCGACGAGCATCTTACCCCAGCCCCGGGGAGGCGGGGGACCCAAAAAAATCACCCCCAAATTATTGGGAGAGTGGCAGCGGCGGTGCGGGTGGGTGACGCAGAGCTGGACGCCCGTGGGATGAAGAAACGGAGGTGTGGGGTGCCCCGGGCACTCAGCCTGTCCCGGGGCGCGGGACGCGAACCCCAACCTCTCCCGCAGCCATGGGGCTGAGCCGGGACCACGCTCCAGGCTGACGGGAGGTGCCAAGGTGCCAAAAAGCACCAGCAGCTGAGAACTGGGGTGGGCTTTTGCCACGCTTATCTCCCCAAAACACCCCTCACCCCTGCCCGTGGGGGTCCGGGCACCCCCAGAGCGGCCACAGGGGCTCCTGGTCGCTGTTTTCCCCCATGGCAGCCGGGGCCGAGGCGCTGGGACGTGGCAGACGCTGAGCCCCCTTTCCAACCCGTTAACGCGGAGCCCAGCGCCCGGCTCGTCCCCGGGGAGGGGGACTCAGCGCCTGCCTGACCCCGGGGCAGGTGACGGGGACGCGGCTGCCCACGCCGCCGGCCACCGCGGCCACGCTAAGTGGCAGATTTCGAAGCAAGGCGGAGGGGACGAGAAGAGGTCACGGCTCTGGGGCTCCCGGCTGCCTAATTCCCAATTAAGCCGAGGCGGGGAGGGACCGGGGTCACGGGCTCGATAGACGCAAGGTTTGTCCACGGCAGAGGAATTTATTCAAGCTGGGGAGCTCTTAATTGCGGTAACGAAGGCGAGGGGTTGGGGGAGCAGGCGATGGCACCAGCCTTCGGCCTCCTCCTCGTCGCCGTTTCTCCAGGGGCTCCTTCGCCTGCCGCTGACGTGGTCCCGGGCAGCACATTGCAGCCCTGGGCGCAGCCCCAGGGCAGAAACAACGGGGGAATTTGTGTTTTCAGGCCTTTGGCAATGAGGGTTGGGGGTTTCAGGCTGCCTCGGTGCCGTTTCATGAAAGCAGGGGGGACGGGCTCGGTGCCACCGCCATCCCAGAGCGGGACAAGCCCGGTGCTGAGCTTCCACCGACAGCCAGGCAGGGATGGGGGGAAAGGACCGACGCCATGTTTCCCACCCCAGATGCTCCCGGAGGAGGTTACGGGTTTGGTTGCCCCCCACCAGAGGGGATCTGAAGCCCAGGGAAGCACAATCTCACCCCATTCCCGAGTGGCTGCATCCCACCCGGCTACGGCGACGCCTTCCTTCATCCCCACCGCACCAGAGGGGTCCCGAAGGGGACGCGGAGCGACCAGCCCCAGCGCTGGGGGTTGACGGAGAAGGGACCCAGGCCCCAAACAGCATCCGCAGCCTCCGCACGGTTCCCCCCCGCCGCCGGTGGAGTCATCGCCAAGGAGAAAACCAACACCTTGGCCTTGACCTCACGTCCTCGACCTCCGGCTATTAGCGGAGCCCTCCGGTGTGGAAAGCAATGCCTTGTGGTTTTTAAGGGGAACGGGTGACGTGGGTGCCGGCATGCCTAAGCAGGAGCCGGCGCTATATATATGCGACTGCTCGCCGGGCCGAGAAGCCGAAAAAGCCTCCACCGCCCGCAGCCATGCCCTGCAAGGCGCTGGCCGTCTGCCTCCTGGGGCTGCTGGCCCTCTCCTCCGCCTGCTACATCCAGAACTGCCCCATCGGGGGCAAACGCGCCGTCCTGGACATGGACATCAGGAAGGTACGTCCCGGCGGACCTCCTCACCCCCTCCTTCCCCCTCTCCCGGCGCTCCCGCGGGGAAAATCCCGGCCAACGGGAGAAAAAAAACAGGGCAAGGCTCCCGGGTGCTTTCCCAAATAACTCTCACACGCTTTTTCTTGCCCCCGTCCCCGAGCAGTGCCTGCCCTGCGGCCCCAGGAACCAGGGCCGCTGCTTCGGTCCCAGCATCTGCTGCGGCGAAGAGCTGGGCTGTTACATCGGCACCCCCGAGAGCCTGCGCTGCCAGGAGGAAAACTTCTTGCCCACGCCCTGCGAGTCAGGACGCAAACCCTGCGGCGGCGGCACGGGAGGGAGCTGCGCGGCCCCCGGCATCTGCTGCAGCAGCGGTGAGGGCAGCGCCGCGTCCCTGTCCCTTCTGGGATCCGAAGGGTCATCTGTGTCCTGTCCATCTGTCCATCCGTCCCCTCAACAACCAGGGCCACCCCACTCGGGGCAATAACAGACCGTGAGGTTTCGGGGAAGGGGGAAAGCAGACAGCAACCAAATTTAGGGGGCTGAGGGAGCAGCAGATGCCCGCACCCCCTCTTTTCATTATGGTTTTCCAAAAATCCCAGCCTCCTCCCTCAGTCAGACGCCACTGGAGATCCCGCTACAAATCCCGGGGAGCCCCGGGGCACGAAGCGAAGGCGCTCTTGCTCGACGCGATTGAAAACGGGCGCCGGGGGGGCTCCGAGGGCTGGTTCGTGCCGTCGCGTTTCACCCGGCGCTCTCCCCTTTCTCTCCCCGTGCAGAGGGCTGCGTGCTTGACTCGGCCTGCGACCAAGAAACGCTCTTCGCGTAGAGCCCCCGGGAGAGGAGAACCCGCGGGAGCCCGTATCTGCCGAGCCCCGCGTCAGGCCGAGAGCAGACGAGCCGAGGTCTGTGACTCAGACGGACGCGATGGCCTTAATTAGATAATCGATGGCCTTAATTAGAAATAAAACTTGTACAGGAAAAAAAAAAAAAAAAGTCCGTGTTTTTTGTGCGCTTGCCTGGTTTAGGTGCAGGCTCACGAGGGCTGGCTGGAGAAAAAGCCATTTTTAGGGAAGCGTAGGTAAAAAGCAAGGATTTAAGGTGGATGTGGTGTTTTGTCCGAGGGAGGGAGGGCGGAGGGGCCTGCAGTCAGCGCGCCCGGGCTCTGCCTGAGCCCCCGCAACGCCCAGGCCGGCGCCGGGCGGCCCCAAAGCAGCGGTTTCGGGGCGAAGCCGAGTGTGGCTCCGTCTGCAAGGCCACGATAAGCCAGACCCGCCAACGAGGACGCAGCTTAATTACAGTGTCACCTCCCGCTAAAGCCCCAGGGGATCACAGAATCCCTGAGGTTGGAAAAAACCTTTAAGATCATCAAATCCAACCGTTAAAACCGTGATGAGTAAAATTCGGCTGAAGCGGGGGCAGAGAAAAGGAGAGACATAAACGCCGGTATCATTTAGCCGTCCTCTGCACCATTTTCTCACTCAGCCACACCGAAGGGAGGGTGTAAGGGACGAGCGGGAGGGACGGATCCTTCTGCCGCGGCAGAAAAGAGAACCAATGAATTCTTTCCCCCCCGAGAACAAGAAGCGGAGGGTCAGCGTTTCCCAGGGAGCCGGCCAGCCCTCGGTCTCCTTTGAAAGCATCTCGAGGGGTCGACACGCAAACAGCGGGGAGCTGGGAGCCGGGATACGCCTCGGGATCGCTCCCCCGCTGCGCCTCCTGCGAATGCGGGAGGAGGAACGGCAGCGCAGAGCAGGAAGGCGGGCAGCTCCTCCACGGGGCTGAGGCAGGCTGCCGCCGCCTCTGCTGCCTGCTGCAAGCCCCCATTTCTCCCTCGCCCTTCCTCCCCGCGGGTGTTAAGCCCTCGGAAGCAGCACGGCCAGACCCCCAGGCTTTCTCCAGCACTTCTGCGGTTGATTTATACATTTAAAAGGAAGAAACCGGCTCGTAAACGGAGAAACCCCCTGTCCCAAGCTAAGACAACACCGTCCGTTTGACGATCCGCCCGTCCTTGTCGATGGCGAAGTTGTAGTTGCGCGGGTTGTCCAGGCACTCCTCGATACGCGCCTCCAGGTTCTGGGGGGTGATGAAGGTTTTGGCTTCCTCCTGACGGAAGGACAAGGACCCGGCTTGTAACGCGCCTTAGCGGACGAGTCGCTGCGAGCGCGCGAGCTGCTGCCGCCTGCAGAGCTCACGGATGCCCAGGGACCCCGAGGTGCCACCGGCATCGCCAGGATCTCGGCAGGAGCCGAGCCCCGAAGGAGGAAACCTTTCCTCTCCCGCTCAGGATTATTCCACCCCCTGTTTTCAGAGCTCTCGCTCAGCCTCCATCCCATCCACACGCTGTCAACGCTCCCGGAAGGCGCTGACAGCTGTGTTCCCAGCTACCAACAGAAAAATCCCTGGAAAACAAGCCTACGGCTTCCACAGGGCTCCCACGGGCTGCCATCAAATCCCTCCCGGGGCCCGCTGGCAGCCTTCTCCCCAGCTGCTCTCACCTGCAGCTGGAGAACCTCCTTCTCCTTCTCCTTCAGGAAAGCCTCCATTATCCTGGCCTTGCTCTCCGCAGCCTCCAGCTTCTGCCTCTTCTGTTCTGCCTCTTCTTTCCTAATTCTTTCCTCTCTGCCATAGGGAAAGGGAAAGAAAAGCAAACCAAAGCAGCAAGGGTTTGCTTCAGTGGGACATGCTAATCCCTCGGGATGCAAAGCCGCCGGAACACAGGGGAAGGAGCAGAGCGGCCGCACCAGGGAAGGGAGCCCGCGCTGTCCCCAGCGTGGGGCACAGAGAATTCCCCGGGAGAGAAAAATTCATGCAAAATCGTTAACGCAAAAGCTTCCAAGCGGACCGGCACGCGTGGCGCGGCCTTGAGACCGGCTCCATTTGGGAGCTCCCAGTCGGAGCATGCGATTCTTCCGGCAGGACCTGGTCGGGGAAGCTAGAGTGCTTTGTGACGGACCAAGGGACAGACAGCGGGGACGGACAGACAGGCTCTTCCTTTTAACCGTCTCTTCCTTTTAACCGTCTCCTGCTTTCGAGATTCAGCAGATGCCGATTTTCTCGGAAGCATCGACGCTTCCCGTGCCGGACCAGAGGCTCCCTGGGAGCAGCACGGGAGGGAACGCGGAGAGACTCATCCTCCCGATGGCACCCGCTGCTGCAGGAGCGCGAGGGGTCGTCCCGGGCTCGGTAACTCACCCCTCAGCAGCAAGAGGCGCTGGAAACACGACCACCGCGTATGCAGATTTATTTAAAAAAGGCCAAAATTTAGGTCAAGTGCCTTTGTAAAAGTTGAGCCTGACTCAAACCGCCCCGGGTGTTGAATTTAGTTCCGCTCAAGCAAAAGCCAAAGACGCAAAGGCTTCGTGCGGGGCCGGGCTGACCTGCGTGCCCGCTGCCGGGCGTTCTCCGCCTCATTCCAGGCCATCAGGCGCCGGTGCTCCTCCGTCAGCTCCGCCGAGTCCTCCCGGGACAGCTCTGCCTCCCGCTTCTTCCGCAGCACCTCGGCCCGGAACTCGGCCCTGCCGGGAGGGGAGGGGAGGCTGCTGAGCTCCTGCCCGGGGCTGGGCACCCTGGGGGGGGTCTCCCAAACCTGCCCCATAGCAGAGCCAGCCCCACCGCCCCTCCCCTGCCCCACAGCAGTCACAGCCCCACAACG